GTATATTTTTACCAACAATCTTGGAAGATAACTTTCACATCTTTATTTCAGTTAAAATTAAATTATATATGTACGTAAGGAATAATTTCAGGCTATCAGATTTTATTTTTTTGCTATAATGCTTTTATAATGCTTTTATAACTACTTTCCTAGAACTAGGTACATACAATGGCAGGCTGGTTCACAATGAATTTCAGTTAAATCAACATCATAATCTGTTAAAAGAGTATTTTGGGATACTAATATTTTCATAACTCAATTCAAAGTTTATCCAATCGACATGTCTACAAAGCACATTGCCCAAACATTAACTTTTTATTAGGTAATCTACCACCATGCTGACAGGTGGGCCTTATTTGCCTTGGCAGGAGTTCAAAGTTTCTAGAAGGTATTGATAGCTAAATAGCTATTAACACTGATAAAAGCTCTTGCTGTTATTTCTGTGGCTAGACCACCATATAGAACTGATTTCAAAAAAGAGTAAAAGAGCTCACCCTTCTGTTAACGTATTCATTGATATTTCTAAACTTACCTCCCAAGACTGAAAAATTCCCACTCTTTATGTTGACAATCTTCTCCCAATTTCTCAATGCAAATTTTTTTCTCCATGCCACGTCAACAGGTATGATCAACTAAGTTCAATCTTTGTTCCAGGATATATATATGCTTTAATATTAATCATATATTTTCACCTTAGCACTCATCCTGCATTCTATCAAAGTCTGTGGCTATTAAAGCTAGAAGACTATGAGAAATGCGGCATATCTTTCCTTTAAAGGTAAGGATGCAATTAAAATCTGGCTTTAATAATCAGAGTAAATAATCAGTGTCCAGCATTTCAACCAACAATATTAATACTGAGTCTCTCAGAAAGCCACAGTCCAGTGTGGTTGTGTGAGAAACAACTTGCAACCTAAAATGCTAGCGAAAGCATTGGACATGAAATTAAAAGATTCTGGTTTGAGGATCTGATACACATAAGTTAGGAGATTAGAAAACAATACTTTGTTCTCTAAGGTAAAGATGGGGAAAAATATACCTACCTTGTGAAATAAAAGAAAATGTATGTTAAAATGTTTTGTAAACTATAAAACACTATAAAAAACATCATTAATGTTTTAATTAATGATTAATTAATTAAATGATTAATGATGCCTTTACATACTCTGGGTAAGAATATAAAGGTAAAGTTTCCTTCAGATTAATGGAAAGGGCAAGAAAAGAAAAGAAAACTGGTGGTATTGGCTTGCAATTGGCAGGTATAGGGGGCTGACAACAAAGAAAGGGGGTAGGAGGCAAGGGGTATAATATCACTATAGGTTGGAGAATAAAGGAATGATAAATAGCAGCCCTGGTGACTCATGGCAGACATTAATCATTTATTGAGTGGTTTCTATGTGTCAAAGTGGAGAAAGAATGTAAGATACATGCCTTTGAGGAACTTACATTCAGTGATAGACATTACTAGTGTTAACCAATATTTATGAATCTCTTCCCTTTCCTGGACATTAAGGGAAATTATACTTCCTATGCATCTAAATTTGGCATAGCTATATGACTTGCTTTGACCAATAAAATACGAGTGGAGGGGTGCCTGGGTGGCTCAGTCGTTAGCGTCTGCCTTCGGCTCAGTTCATGATCCCATGGTCCTGGGATGGAGCCCTGCATCGGGTTCCCTGCTCAGTGGGAAGCCTGCTTCTCCCTCTCCCTCTACCCCTCCCCGCTGCTTGTGTTCCCTCTCGCTGTGTCTCCGTCAAATAAATAAATAAAATCTTAAAAGAAAAAAACACGAGTGGAAATGACAAGTATCACTAAGAATGAAACCATTTAAAAGGCAATGTGCAATTTCTCCATATTTTTTTATCATGCTCCAGAAATGATGGGAGCACTGGTTGATAAGGAAACAACACATAATGAAAAAGCCTGAGGTTCTGAGCTTTGACATGGAGGCTGCCCTAGAGTAGACTTTGAATAAGCAAGAGCAACTTTGAATAAGCAACTTTTGTCTTATTAAGTCAGGAGAATTTTTGGTTTTATTTGTTACTGCACCGTGAGCTAGCCTATCCAGACTAATACCCATGGTAAAGAGAAATCCTTGCTGATAAAAAAAAAGTTAAGTAAATATGTTGATGTTCTTAAGACCCTTTTTCCTAGTAGTGTCATTTCATGAATTACTGTTTCTGGAATTTATGCTCTTTATTCTATTGTACTTTTTAATGTGTATTCTTATAAAGTAGAATTCTGAGAAGTGAATGTAAAAGTGACAGGTGTATTATCAGAAGATGGTGTTGCCCCAAATGAGTTAATCCAATCAATTTGAATTTTACTTGGACGAGAAGTAGAAATCACTAAATTTAACCTTTATTATTACAAAGTAATTGTAGAAACTTCTTTGGCACGATACCTTTCAGATATAAATATTGGGAGTATATTTTGAAGGATGTATTACATATATAGCAAAAGAAAAAAAAATCCTGTCTTAAAATTATAAATACATATATATGTGTATATATGTGTGTGTGTGTGTAGCGTACGGTAAATATATGTATTTACTGTAATAGGCAGCATCCCAGATGACCTGCAAAGATCCTTACCTCTTGGTATTTTCACCCACGTTGTACCACTGTTGGTCTAATAGCATATGGCAGAAGTGAAGTCACTTCCATGATTAAGATATAAAAGACTGAAACTTCCATCCTTCCATCTGTTTCTCTCTACCTCTACCTCTAGTCTACCTGTCTATCTCATCACTCACTGTAGGAGATGCCAGTTGCCTTTTTGTGAAAACCTTCAGGCACCTCATGCATAAGGGACAAAGGCCTCAGAAAACTTCCAGTAGGGCCCCGAGGCCCTTTAACAGCCATGTGAGTGAGCTTAGAAGCAAAGTCTTCAGCTCCAGCAGAACTTGAGATGCCTGAACCCCTGGGGCAGGTTCATTACAACTTTGAGACCTTAAGCCAGAAGACCCATTGAAACCACTCCCAGATCCTGACGCCTGGAAACTTTGTAATAAATGTTTTAAGCTGTTACATTGACAGTAATTTGTTATGCTACAATGGATATCTAATATATTTGTCAAAATTGAACAGAAAAAAAGCACATAGGGTTTATTGAAGCCTTTAATATTTTAAACTTGTAACTGTTACAATTCTCTTCTTTAAATTAAAATTGTATGGGGCGCCTGGGTGGCTCAGTTGGTTGAGTGACTGCCTTCGGCTCAGGTCGTGATCCTGGAGTCCCGGGATCGAGTCCCTCATCGGGCTCCCTGCTCGGCAGGGAGCCTGCTTCTCCCTCTAACCCTCCCCCATCTCATGTACTCTCTCTCTCTCATTCTCGCTCTCTCAAATAAATAAAATCTTAAAAAAAAATTAATTAAAATTGTATGATGGTATTGAGGCTTGCAATGATGACTGCTGTTCTTAAATACACAGGGGTTTATTTTCTAATGGGTCTTTTTTTAAAGACAGTTAATGCCACCCAAAAGCACAAGATGAATTTTACTCAAATATTTATTGGATAATACAGTATCTTTTAGGAAAAGCATCTGCCACAAAAAAATGTTCACTTCAAAATGCTATATTGCTAGTAGGATCACCGCTCTCCTTTGCAGAAGGGCATGTTTTGCACAGCGTGGGTGGGGCTGACTTCAGGGTATGTGGATAGTCTACCAGTTGAGAGTTGTTTTGACTTAAAAGTTGTTCTTCATTTCACTAAATTGTATAATGTCAAAAGATTCTGCCGTTACTGAAAAAGAACATTTAAGTTCAGATTAAATACATGACTTTATCAATGTGACTTTCTGATTTCCAAACTCCAGAGGATCTTCAACGATCTGATGGTTTCACTCTCAGTTCATCAGCAATGCTTCTCTAAGTGGATCTAGTTGAGTCTTGGGGAACCAGGCTAGCTGGATATTCTTAACTGGGTAACCATTTCGTTTAAGCTTCAACTTCTGGTGGAAATGGAGAAGAGAGGGGACTGGAATCTGTATTAGTTTGCCAGGGCTACCATAATAAAGTGCCACGGACTAGCTTAAGCAACAAAAATTTATTTTCAAGATTCTGGAGGCTAGAAATACAAATCAAGTATCAGGAGGGTTGATTTCTTCTGAAGACCTCTCTCCTTGGCTTGTAGATGGCTATCCTCCTTTGTGTCTTCATAGAGTTTTGACTTCGTGCATGTCTATGTCCTAATCCCCTCTTCTTACAAGAACACCAGTCATAGTGGTTTAGGGTCCACCCTAATGCCATCATTTTACCTCTTTACACCCTATCTTCAAATACAGTCACATTCTGAGGTATGAAATTCAGACCTCAATATATAAATTTGAGAGGGGACACAATTCAGTCTATGAGATCTGAAATATATTGTTTAGATAATAAACTAAAAGAACAAATAAGTAAAATCATTAGAACACTTAAGCAGAGCTGAATAAGAGATATGTGTTACAGTAAAAGTGGCAATGGATTCAGATTTATTATAAGTGACAAGGCTCAGAAACTATATAAGAAATAATACAAGAATCACAGGTGCCTGGATGGCTCAGGCAGTTAAGCATCCAAATCTTGATTTCAGCTCAGGTCATGATCTCAGGGTCATGAGACTGAGCCCTGTTTTGGGTTCTGTGCTGGGCATGGAGCCTCCTTGAGATTCTCTCTCCTCCTCTGCCCCTCCCCCCGACTCATGTGCTCACTCTTTGTCTGTCTCTCTCTAAAAAAGGAAAAAAAAGAAGAAAGAAATACAAGAATCGATAGCAACAAAACAATCATGGAGAATTTCTCCATGGAGCCTGGAGGTGGGGATCATTGGGGATCATCTTGGAAGAGGGCTACTACGTGTAGAGTGTATGTCTGTGTGTTTTACATCATCACGAGGTTGATAACAAATTATATCTTTAAATGAGGGAGTGTCAAAAATGGCTCTCTGGACCACTCAAATTCATCAAGGTATAAAGAGATTAAGGAAAACATATTTGAGCATTGATCTTTTTTGGAATTGGGTTGTTTGTATTAAAAGAGCATCGCAAATGTTTTATGCAGAGGAAATAAAAATCACAGTTAAAAAGCATATCAAAGCTATCATAAAATACGTATGTGTTAAAGAAATCCAGAGTGAAAAAGTAACCAGAGCTGGGTATGGACAGAGTAAATACCATTTCTAAAAAGTAAATTCACTACTTGTAATGTTTAAAATTAAGAAATATCATGCTAAGACAAGCTAGTAAGCTTGTCACAGGGGAAAATATGAGAGAGTATGTTCAGATGAGTAGTTCTTAGTTGATTTCCAGGAAAAATTTGAAAATAAAAACTAATATGCTTTCTCTCAGGAATTTTAGAACATACCAAATGCAAAACAAAACAAAACAAAACAAAAAAACACTTTGTGGTGTGTATCTTATAGTGAATAAATATCAATAATGTTCATAAAAATTAGCTTCACTTATTTGGGCTATTTGTTTACTTAGCACATTTGGTTTAAGTTAATCAGGGTAATCTTGTGTGTGTGATGGTGTATCATACAAAGCAAATAAAGATATTTTATTTCTCCTTTTGTGAAAGAATTACAAGAAAGACACTTAAAGGCAATTTGCCCACTAAGTTGTTTTAAAGGTTTTCAATACTAAAATCCATTGTTATTTTACTTCAGTGCAGGAGTCAACAAACTTTTTCTGTAGAGGGTCAGGCAGTAAATATTTGCAGCTTTTCTGGCCATAGGGTCTGGTTAACTACCCAACTTCACCACCACAGCATAAAATAAAAACAGCCATCAACAATACTTAAATAAATGTGGCTGTGTTCAATAAAACTTTAGATATGGAGACTGAAATTTGAATTTCAGATCACATTCATGTGTCACACAATATTCTCCTTCTTTTGATTCTTCTTTGCTTTTCAACACTTTAGAAACATAAAAACCTTTCTTAGCTCACAGGCCATGCAAAAACAGATCACAGTCCAGATTTGGAAAATGTTTGGTTTAGAACCACCCTATTAATATGCTTATAGGCTGATAAGATAGGTAAAACACTGAAGAGGCACTGAAAAACACTCAAAAAAGTGGAGGCGCTCTAATAAGTTCCTAGGTGTTAAGTCCAGCTGCCTTCTGGGATAATCATTGTTCGGTATCGAGCCAAAACCAATTAACTGATGTTGAGTTCACTGAGTTTCTAACTGAAATATGCAGGGTGGCTGAGCCAGGGGAAGATGTTTACACTTTAGACAATCAGAGGTGATGTAATTTTAGCAATAAGTATATCACACATGGTTTTATTGTGATAGTCATACACATTGTTAATAGCTAGCACATATACAGTACTTTCCATGATCCAGAAACTTGTCTAAGGACTTTAAATGCATTCAATTATTTAATTTTCACCAAAAAAAAAAAAAAAAAAAAAACCCTAAAATGTGGGTAAAACTGTTACCCTCATTTTATAGATTTTACCTTTCAAAATTGTGTCACTGTTTATCTGGCTTCTGTTATCTGGGTGTGTGTGTGTGTGTGTGTGTATGTAAAAATAGTGAACTATATATGTATATATATTTCTAATCATTTGTACAAGAGACCATGATCACTGTTATGATCTTCATCCTTCTTTTCTCATCCATCATTTTTTTAATTACACAAAATGAAAGAGAGCAAATGGAAATATTCTACCAACTGAATGAGCACACAACTGGCATTATGACTAAGAGCATTATTCCCAGTGTTTGTGCCTGGGGGTCTGATGAAGCCTTTAATGTCTGGTCCTTCTCATACATTCTCCCAAATAGAGTCACGGTCAAGAGAGGTCCAGATGGCGGCTTCACGCTGAACAAGCGTCCATCACTCGACACCTAATTAAAACATAAAGAAGTTGACTGGGTCTCCCTCTAACTTATACAACCTCGTAACACCTTCTAAAATTCAGTACAACTGGATGAAGAAACAATAAAAATAATGGCTAACTTCTTAAGAAATTTTGAAATGGTACAGGGTATAAGAAAAATTGGAGCTATGGAATTGGCACTGATTCATTTATTATTGAAATGGCTATAATCAGCATCTTATAATTTACTTATTTGAGGAAGTATTCCATGAGTCAGTAAGCATAAGGCAATAGGTTTGGGAGTATCTAAGAGAAATCTAGTCCTCTCAGACATAATAGGCTCCTCCAAGTGGACACAAGGGATTGACTGAGGGGTTTTGAGCTGAGCCTCTTTCATCCCTGTCACTCACTCACCCCAGCCTCCCAACCTGCTCACTGGCCCTAGTGCCCCACAGTAGCTGTTCCTACAAGGAAGGGGGAATAAGAACAAAACCCACAGGTAAGTCAGGGGAAGAATATGGCTGGGCAGAATTTATGCAGTAAGGAAATATTTCTGGACTTTAAAAAAAAAAGTGCTTGCTTTCTTGCCTATTTCAGCCACTGGTGAAATAGATCCACACAGTGAGAGGAATTCCCTTCAACTTTTCTAGGCTATCACTGCCCATGTGAAGGGGTTCCCTCTGGTGGGACCAGTCCTGAAATCCTTCTCGAGTCTTCTTCCTACTCAACAGACCCAAAACAGTCCAGCCTCCTCCCAATAGTCTCCACAGTAATATATTTATTTATTCTTAAGGATACACTAAGAATTTCCGGACAAGAAATTCAACCTTCTCAGTGTCCTTCATGATTCCCCAAGAACAATTTTATTCTTTCCAAATGGAGATACTTTTGATATCTGTAAACACTTCAGTAGGTTTTGTACTCAAAAAGTGCTTCCGGGCGCCTGGGTGGCTCAGTCGGTTAAGCGACTGCCTTCGGCTCAGATCATGATCCTGGAGTCCTGGGATCGAGTCCCGCATCGGGCTCCCTGCTCGGCAGGGAGTCTGCTTCTCCCTCTGACCCTCCTCCCTCTCGTGCTCTCTGTCTCTCATTCTCTCTCTCTCAAATAAATAAATAAAATCTTTAAAAAAAAAAAAAGTGCTTCCTCTTACATGAAATGTCAATATTAAGCAAAGGTTCTTACCTGAAATTCTCCAGGTGCAAGCTGGCTTTCACTTAGCAACACCTCAGGGAAGACATTCTGAGTTCCAAAAGTGCCACTGAGGGAAAACATTTCAAACCTGGTAGAAGCTGTTTCAACTGCACCACCACAAGTGTTTAAGTCTGTTGTTTTACATTTCAGCAGGGTACAAATCTAGGAGAAAAAATGCAAACCAGTAAGTCCTAAGAAAGCCAGAACTGATACACCCTCCTGGGCTAGAAATAAGGCCTATGCAAAGCCTATGCCCCTTTGTTTGATAAAATATTACATTTTCATTAGATTAATCCAGCTCATTGATAGCTAATTCAACAACTAATTCAACTAATTCAGAAAAGTAAAGGACTTCAGGCCCTATTGCTGTCTCCAATTCATGGTCAAACAGCTTAAATCTCTCTTTTTTTTTTTTTAGATTTTTTTTTTTTTTTTTTTTATTCATGAGAGACCGAGCAAGAGAGAAAGGCAGAGGGAGAAGCAGGCTCCCAAGGAGCAGGGAGCCCAATGCGGGACTCGATCCCAGGACCCTGAGATCATGACCTGAGCCGAAGGCAGACGCTTAACCATCTGAGCCACCCAGGCGCCCCAGATTAAATCTCTTAAAGAAACAATCAGACCCTTGGTCAATCAATAGCCATGAACTAACTATACCTCCATTGTTCTCAAGCTAGCAATGCTTTTAATAATCAAGTGTTCTACTTTTTTTAAAAAAGGTTAAATTTGGGGCGTCTGGGTGGCTCAGTCGTCAAGCGTCTGCCTTCAGCTCAGGTCATGATCCCAGGGTCCTGGGATCGAGCCCCGCATTGGGCTCCCTGCTCCGCGGGAAGCCTGCTTCTCCCTCTCCCACTCCCCCTGCTTGTGTTCCTGCTTTCACTGTGTCTCTCTCTGTCAAATAAATAAATAAATAATCTTAAGAAAAAAAAAGAATTTATTATTATTTTTATCCTTATTCCCCTCTTAGGACTAGGTTAGGTCTTTCAGTTGTATGCTTTAATTGTCCATGGTACTTTCCTTTTATGGCATTTGTCACAACTAAAATTAAATAGTGATTTTCTTAGTTTTCTGTTCAATCCTGTCTTCCCACTAGTATTAAGTTCTATGAAGACAGTGACTATATTTGTCTTGCTCACCTTCATATCCTCAGGCTCTATCAAATACTTGAACACTGAAGGCATTACATAAATATTTAGTGAATGAAAATGAATCCATATGTTATAGATGATGAACCACATGTTTAAAGAGGCTAAAAGACTGGCTCAAGGCAGGTGGCCATTACCCAGTAAAAAAGGAATTTACCCAGAATTTCTGACTCCAGAATCTTTGTTCGCACCACGTTGTGTTAAGCCCCTGAATTTAATCTTTGGTTTTTGGCAGAGTTGTTATCCCTAATTTCTTACCCTGTTGGGAAATAGCTTTACATTCTAGAAGACTGATAGGCCAGTGTTTGGATGACTCTGACCTTGGTGGGAGGAAATGGAGAGGACAAAGGGTAGAGAAATAATCTAAAGAGGAGAGTCTCCTAAGTATATTGGGTAAAGGGAATGAACTTCTTTCATTTAGTTTATTCCTTCTTTATTCATCAATTTACTCAATGATTCTTTAAAATATGTAAACTGCTCCTTCTCCCATTCTCCTATAACAACTGCTATAAATCTGTACCCAATCTTTTACTATCTTCTACTCTAGAAAATGCTATAAGCACCTTCTTTCCCCATGTCCTTAAAATTCACTCTAGAACACTCGGAAAATCTCTGTGGCAAGATGCTGAGTTATTGTACCCTTATCTCCTTTTCTTTCCCTTCTCTCCTTAGTTAAGAAATAGATTTTGGTGTTATAGAGATTTTTCTAGCATTAATTATCATCACAGTTAGACTATGAAAGATTATGAATATAATACCAAAATCCCTCGTCCTCAATTCCAAGACCAACCTTCTGTAAAAATAAAGGCTTTTGTAGCACATTTGACATTGAGACCTAACTTGACTAACATAACTATATTTTTATTTAAGCTATTTAGGATGAGTAGTCCCATGTTTTCCAGCAGACATATTAACATGTTTGATTTGGGGTGCTGCCCTCAGATTCTGCTGGTCACGGCTCCAGTTGAATGTCCCATAAATACTTCAAAACCAGAACATTCTAGGGGCGCCTGGGTGGCTTAGTCAGTTAAGCGTCTGCCTTCAGCTCAGGTCATGATCCCAGGGTCCTGGGATCGAGCCCCACATCGGGCTCCCTGCTCCGCAGGAAGCCTGCTTCTCCCTTTCCCGCTTCCCCTGCTTGTGTTCCCTCTCTCACTGTGTCTCTCTCTGTCAAATAAATAAATAAAATCTTAAAAAAAAAAAAAAAACAGAACATTCTAAGTGAACTGAGCATCTCCCCACTACCACTCAATCTGCTCCCCCTCTAGCATCCTGATCTGTCAGAGCACAGCATTCACCCAGGCACTCTTGCCAGAAACCTGGTACATTCTAGTCCTCTCAATCTGCTTTTCTATATCAACTTAGCTATAAGTTAAGTTTTCTGCATATTGCTTGACTCCATACCCTGCTCTTATTCCTACTAACATACTCTTGGTACAGGCCCTAGTAGGACTATTTTAATAATCTAACTAGTCTTTTTGCCCTAGTTTCATCATCCACAGTGCTGCCACATTGATCTACTCAATGGCAGATCTGATCACATCATGCCCTTGCTGAACACCTTCCAACAGAAGACTATCACCCAGAAAATAAAGTCCAAACTTTAGGAATGACAGGTAAGATGCTGTCACATGTGATCCTGCCTCTAGGGTCATCTTCCACCAATCCTTGCTTCTTACATTATACCTTAGTAACACTGATCTACATGCACTGATCTACTTCTTGACACATCCACACTCCTGCTCATATTCCACTCCACCTAGAATTTCCTCCCACTTTTTTCATCTGGATAATAGCATAAGCTCTTAACATCATGTCTCCAGAAACTTCCCTGAATCCCCGAATTAGGCTAGGTACAGCTTGTTAGTATTCCTACAACAAAATGTGCATTCTATGTTCTAGCACATGCCAACCTGTACTGACATTATCTATTCATATGTCTTTCCCCACTACTAAATTCTTCAAGAGGAGGGCCTTTACTTATTCATCTTCATATCATCAGCTCTGAATATATACCTACTATGCAGTAGGCACTCAATAAGTGTCCAAATGAGCAAGCACTGGTAAAGTGCTTATCATGCAGCAAAGAGAATGTTGCACAGTGGGCAGAGTTCCAGCACTCAAAGGGTTTTCAGTCTCAGACAACTATGTGCATAATTTCACATAATACGTCCTTGATAAAACTAAGCATAGGATGTATGAAGTACCTAGCCCAGGTGGGGAGGTGGGAGTGGTGCCACGGAAAGTGTCAGGGCAGCCTTCTTGGTGAAGACGACACCTGAAATGCACTGTGAATGGTGAGTAGGTGGGGCCATCATAGATAAAGGAAACAACCCGTGCACACATCCAGAGGGTCTGCAGATGCCCCCACACTGCAGAGGAGGAAATGTCTCAATATGAGAGAAGCCCAGAGCACATGTGGGTGGAAGTGAGAGAAGAGAATAGAGAGTAGGAAAAGGCACATGTCAAAAATTTATGAGCATGTTTTGTTAAGGAATTTGATTTGCCAACTAGAAGACAGTGAGGAATTTTAAGAAAGAGAGTGAAATAATCACAAATGGCTTTTAGTAATTTTTATAATCAGAGTGTAGGAAATAGATTGGATGGAGCTGAAACTCAACTGGAAGCCCTGAAATAGAATGGGAGACAGATCAGGGAAGAGGAGAGCAAAACGAGAGGAACATGAAAGTTGTTTGTTCTTAGGGGTCACACCTTACCAGCCTATAATAGTTCCTCCTTTAGTGTTGGGGGCTGTGAGATACCCAAATCTTTGCAGTAGTAAACTACTCTACTACGTATCTCAGAGGCTGACCCTATATGTCTCCAGGACATGCTTAGTGTCAAGCTCTTAATGAAACAAGATAAGCTTTAGTGAACATATAAAGAAAATGGATAAATTTCTTCAGGCAGGAAATATCAGAGGCTAATCATCCATTAAAATAATCTGTAATTTGATTATCATATCATTTTAAATACAGGTATTGTAAATAAATCTCCTGCCTTTTTTCCAGCCATTTTAAAACCGGACTGACATCTAGGATTTCAAGTTTAAGCAAACAAAAATTCAGGATGCCCAGCTAAATTCGAATTTCAAATAAAACAAAATTTTTAGTGTACAGGTATCCTCAAAAGTGAGACACTTATAACAAAAACAATCCATTGTTTATCTGAAATTCAAATTCAACTAGGGGTCCTGTATTTTATCTGGTTAACTCCCCTGACACCAAAACAATCATTACCTGTAAATAATACGTCCCTTCGACAATATGGAGTCCATCAAATGCCCCCAGGGCGTAAATTTCATCTCTTCTCTTTTCAGACATCTTGTAGCTTAGATGACAGCAGAGTTTTTTCTGACAAACTGTGTAATTTCCTGTGACTCTTGTGAGCTCCAAGAAGGTGAATTCATCAAAAAAGACAGTACCCTTAAATTCCTGATTTCCTGTTGAGAATGCCTTTATACTACTGGCATAAGAAGCCCAATTCACTACAGGGCTGTGTGAGTGAGAATCCAGTTGTGAGAGAAGGAGTTTTCCCTCCTTTGTCTTCATATCATAATGAAATGCTCTTGGAGAATCAGGTGCATAGATGCCACTTCCTGAAAGTGATGTTGGAAATGGCATTTGAAATAGAAAAGTGAAAAAGGATTGCACAGTTGTTATTGTTATTTTAAACTCACATTCTCTGAGCTATATACGTCATTAATTTCAGTAAAATATACTGAGAAGGACAAGTGAGAGGAGATCCAACAGAGTATGATATCAAAAAGCCAATAAGTGAAACTTTCATGTAAGAAGTGGTGAATTTTTAAGGGGAAAAAAAAAGAAATGGGCATATAAGTTGAATAAAACTAAATAAATCTACAAAACAATTTAGATTGAGATGGTTCTACAGTATTTCACCAGCTAGATATGCAAAAATTAAAGAGTTGGAAAACACTATATTAAGGAGTACATGCTAGCTAGGAAAAATTATTTTTTCTTTTACTTTTTTGATTACATAAAGTTTGTAAATCTTAGAGCTTACACATTACCTGTCATTCTCTTTGAGGGGTGATGTATATTGGATGCAAGGAAGTTGACCCCCATGCCCATTGCCCAAGCTGAGTGGAACTGAATAGCTGACAAATGTGGCAAAACATTCATCCATGCTGTTGGGAAGACTATGGTATCGACATGGAAATCTTTCACCAGAGTAACAGCAGGATCATAGAAGAGTATATCGAAGCACGTGAAAATGCCAAATCTTCCAAAGATGGTGTCAAAAGTCACAACCTCAGGCTTCTTGGGTACATTGAATTGATTTTCACCCATGAAAAGGTTGTGCTGTAATAAACAGAAGATGAGGGGCACCTGGGTGGCTCAGTCATTAAACATCTGCCTTTCTGCTCAGGTCATGATCCCAGGTTCCTGGGATCAAGCCCTACGTCAGGCTCCCTGCTCAGCGGGAAGCCTGCTTCTCCCTCTCCCACTCCCCCTGCTTGTGTTCCCTCTCTCGCTGTCTCTCTCTCTCTCTCTCTTCTCTCTGTCAAATAAATAAATAAATCTTAAAAAAAAACAAAAACAAAAACAAAAGATGAAGGGGAAAAAAGTCTCTTTTCAGAAGTTGGCCTGGGTTTACTGTGTCTGAAAAAAGTGCAAGCCAACAACTCTTAGTCAGTGCCAATTTAATCCATGACCACTGTCTTCACAGGGAAAAACTGTAAGAGAATAGAGATTACTATAGCTGATGGGAATTGGTTCAACCTCCACATTTTATAGATATGTAGGCAGGATTCCTTATTTATTAAGACCCTCTTGAATCTTACAAGACATAGAAGTGAAATAGATGACTTCTATTTGCCAAGAACACTTAACATTTTCTGTGGACAAAGAACTTTCTTTGCTCCTTTCTCTTCAAAATCAAGTCTATCTGGTAGGTAGTTTCTCCTTCTAGTCTTGACCCAATGCCAGGGCATGTCTTCAAAAGGACAAAGTCTAAAAGGTAACCTTATATTTCAATAGAGGTACCTCCTGCTGATTCTCATACACTTCCACAGACACATTCCTACATTTCTAAATGCATAGGAAACCTCTTGAGCCTCTTTATAGGAGCTTACCATACCTAATCATTACTTTCTATGCTTTGTCTCCATTCTGCTTCTAAAGTATGCTTATTATCTACACTAATGATTTTTCCTTCTTGTCCACTTTATTTTGTTAAACACTCAGTAACTGAACTGTTTGCAAATTAACTTTACCTTATGATAGCGTGCCACCAGTTTTCCCTGAGAATCAAACACCACATTGGTGTTGTACTGGTAACGACCATCGGGGGGACACTGAGGGTCACTGGCATTGCATGGCTTCTTGTCCCCAATATTTGCCACAACGTAGATAGAGTTGTCCTTGGCCAGGCAGCTGAGTCTTTCTTGCACTGGGGTGTAGCCAAACCTATATGCTCATTAGAAAAGAAAAACAAAAATGAAGTTTATCTTTTAATAAAATTCAGAATTATATTCCTTGAACCTATTATGTGATACACACAAAAATAAATTCTGAATAACATCAGAGAAGGGAAAGATTAAAATAAGAATAGATTTCAGAGGAAGTACATGCTTGTGGGAATTTGGTTGTAGGAAACTATTCTAGGATAAGATTCTAGGCCATGTATTTTTTTCATCATAGCATTTATCATCATTTATAACCATGTGTTCATTATGTGTTTATCTTATGTGTGGCACATCTCATAGATATTTTGGGACAATGATACACATCTTCTGTTCACTGACCCTGGAAGAAAAGAGGAATTAAAAAAAATACTTCAAGTGAAAGAACGACAACTTGGAATTAGAATTCTGGGAAGATGGCAGAGTAGGAAGCACCAGAAATACATCCGTCCACCTAGATGATATTTGTACTGGCAGAATCTGACTAATAGAGCTATTTTGAAATTCGGGAGTCTATTTCAAGGCTTGTAAGGCAAATTGCAGTCAATTTCAGTCAATTTCACATCTTGGCTCAGCAGTGGCTACACATGCTTTACCCCACACCCAGGCCCATGACAGATAGTCATGCTGGAGCACCATGCAGGCGGCTTACAGAACCAGGTTGGACACTAAAACCCCTATCTTCCAAATATCAGGGATCTGTGTTCTGATCACTGATAACTGCTTCTGATCATGGAGGTGCAAACACAGGGGCAGGTAGCCATTGTTTTACCCCACCACCACCACCACCACTATATTGTTGCAAGTCCTTCCCCTACTGGCTGAAGTAATTTCTAGAGGATTTAAAGAGCCAGAGTTGTCTTCTCTTCCTCTTCCTTAATTTTTCCTTTTTTCTCTTTTTTTGAAATCAGACATTTAAGGATTAGGACATACAAAAACAATCATATATATAGGAGAATTTAGAAAGTCATCACATGTGCTCCAGGAAAGACACAGGCTAAGACAATGCCTCAAAAGATCTTGGGGCGCCTGGGTGGCTCAGTCATTGAGCGCCTGCCTTTGGCTCAGGTCATGATTCCAGGGTCCTGGGATCGAGCCCCACATCAGGCTCCCTGCTCGGCGGGAAGCCTGCTTCTCCCTCTCCCACTCCCCCTGCTTGTGTTCCCTCTCTAGCTGTCTCTCTCTCTGTCAAATGAATGGATAAAATCTTTAAAAAAAAAAAAAAGATCTTAAGTTTACACATCAAGCTTATGCCTAGTGCAGAAACAGCCTATAGGAATCAAAAAAAAAAAAACAAAAAAAAAACAAAAACAAATAAGCAAAAGGCTAGTACTAAACCCTGGGGAAAGAGAAGAATTTGATTTTCAGAATGATCACATTTTCAGATTCAAATATCAACTTAACAAAAAAATCATTAAGACATACAAATAAACAGTAAAGCATGGCCCATTCAAAAGGGAAAAAAAAATAAAATAAACCTACAGAAACCATCCTGGAGAAAGACCAGATGGCAAACCTACTAGACAAAGACTAAAACAACTGTCTTAAAGATGCTCAAAGAACTAAAGGCAAATGTGGAAAAAGTCAAGAAAATAATATATGAACAAAATGGAAATATCAATAAGGAGATGGAAAACCTAAGAGAAACCAAAATGAAATTCTGGAGCTGAAAACTACAATGACTAAAATGAAAAATTTACTAGTGGAATTCAAAGATGGATTTGAGCTGAAAGAATCAATAAATTTAAAGCTAACCCTGACCCTAACCCTAATTATATGAAGAAATCATGTCCAAAAACTTCCCAGATTTGATTAAAAACATGAATATATAAAGATCCAAGAAGTTCAATGATCTCCAAGAAAGATGAACTCAAAGACACCATACCAAGACACGTTGTAATCAAACTGTCAAAAGTCAAAGACAAAATAAAAATGTTGAAAGCCAAAGAGGTAAGTGATTCATAACGTACAAGTAATCCCCAATAAGATTATCAGTTTTGTTTTTTTTTTAAGATTTTATTTATTTTTCAGAGAGAGAGCACAGCAGGGGGAGCAGCAGACAGAGGGAAAGCAGGCTTCCCGCTGAGCAGGGAGCCTGACGTGGGACTCGATCCCAGGGCCCTGGGATCATGACCTGAGCCGAAGGCAGACACTTAACTGACTGAGCCACCCAGGAACCCCTATCAGCAGTTTTTAATCAGATACTAGAGACCAGAAAACAGGGGGCCAATATATTTAAAGTGCTGAAAGAAAAAAACTGTCAACTAAGAATCTGGTATCCAGCAACACTGTTCAAATGTGAGGGACAAATTAAGACACTCTATGCTAATATCAAATAGACTCTAAATTAAAAGATTACAAGAGATAAGGAAGGATATTACATATTCATATTCAAAATACAAGAGAACTCTTAAAATTAAACAGTAACAGTAACAACAACCTAATTTAAAAATGGGCAAAAGACTTTTGAATAGACTTTTCTCCAAAAAAAATAGCCATACAAAGGACCAATAAGCATATGAAAAGATGCTCAACCTCACTAATCACTAGGGAAATGCAAATCAAAACCACAATGAAATACTACCTCATACCCATTAGAATGCCTACTATTAAAAAAACAAAACAACAACAACAACAAAAAAACCCAGAAAATAACGAGTGTTGATGAGGATATGGAGAAATTGGAACACAAAGACATTATTGGTGGAAATAAAAAAAGGATGTGGTTAGGAAAAGAACTGCCAGGAAACCAGTTTGGCAGTTCCTCAAAAAATTAAAAAAAGAACCATCACATGATTCAGCAATTACATTGCTGGATATATTTCCAAAAAACTGAAAGCAGCAACTTGAAGATACGTTTGTATACCCATGTTCATAGCAGCATTATTCACAATAGCTAAAAGGTGGAAGCAACTCAAGTGTCCATCAATGGATGAAAGATAGCAAAATGTGGTATGTATACACAGTAGATTATTATTCAGCTTAAAAAGGAAGGAAATTCTGACACATGCTACAACATGAATGAACTTTGAAGACATTACGCCAAGTGAAATAAATCAATCACAAAAAGGTAAAAACCATACAATTCCACTTAAAAGGTAGCTAGAGTAGTTAGAGTAGCCAAAATCATAGATACAGAAAGTAATATGATGACTGCCAGTGGCTGCAGAGATGGGGAAATAGGGAAACACTGGGGAAATAGATGGGGAAATATTGTGTTCTTTCCCCAGCTTTACTGAAATATAGTTGATATATAACATTGTGTGAGTTCAAAATGTAAAATGTGAGGATTTTATATATGTATATATTAATAAATGTTTACAATTAGGTTAGCACATTTTTTAATTAGTATAATTACCATTTTATTGTTCTTACTGTGAGAACATTTAAAATCTACTCCCATTGCCACTTTCAAGTAAACAATACAATACTGTTAACTACAGTCATCATGCTATACATTATATCTCTGGAATTTATTCCTCTTATAACTAGAAGTTTGTACCCTTTGCCCGATTTTGCCTCATTTCCCCCACCACCAGCCCCTGGAAACTACTGTTCTCTCTGCTTCTATAAGTTCAGCATTTTTAGATTCTACATATAAGTGAGATCATACAGTTTTTGTCTTTCTCTGCCTGGCTTATTTCACTTAGCATAATGTTCTCAATGTTCATCTATGTTGTTGCAAATGGCAGTATTTCTTTCTCATGGCTGAATAATGTTCCACTGAATATATGTATATACCACATTCTTTTTTAAAAAAATATTTTATTTATTTATTTGACAGAGAGAGACAGCAAGAGAAGGAACACAAGCAGGGGGAGTGGGAGAGGGAGAAGCAGGCCTCCCGCCGAGCAGGGAGCCCAAGGCAGGGCTTGATCTCAGGACCCTGGGATCATGACCTGAGCCAAAGGCAGAGGCTTAATGACTGAGCCACCCAGGATATACCACATTCTTTATCCATTCATCCGTTGATGGTCATGCAGGTTATTTACATGTGTTGGCTACTGTAAATAATGCTGCAATAAACATAGAGGTGCAGATAGCTTTTTGAGATTGTATGGTATGTTCAGATTTTCTATTTCTTCATGATTTGGTCTTGGTAGGTTGCCTATTTCTAGAAATCCATGGATTTATTTTAAGTTGTCTGATTTGTTGTCACATAATTATTCAGAGTAGTCTCTTATGATTTTTTGTATTTCTGTGGTATCACTTATAATATCTCCTCTTTTCACTTCTAAAAATATGGACTGCTTCAGGAATTTGCATGTCACCCTTGTGCAAGAGCCATGCTAATCTTCTGTATTGCTCCAATTTTAGTATATGTGCTGCCAAAATGAGCACAAGCAGAATTATCGTTCAATGGGTGTAGAGTTTGAGTTTTGCCAGATAAAAAGTGTTCTGGAGATGAGTGATGGTGATGGTTGAGTTAACAATATGAATATACTTAATACCACTGACTGTGCATTTAAAAATGATTAAGATGGTAAACTTTATGTGTATTTCACCACAAAAAAAAAATTAGAAAAAAAGACCGTTGGAGGTTAAGAAAAGGGAAATCTTGTTCAGGGAACTAGTCAATCTGGCTGGAGCAGAGACATTGTTAGGGAAGAAAAGGGAATTTAAAAAGATGCATCTGGGGTCATAAAAGATAGAGCTCAGCACAAGAAGTTAAAAACTTCTTTCAAATTTAATAGACAAAAAGATTCTGAGGACAGAAGTACCATGACCTGAATTTTCTGTAAGATAATAGGCCATTAGGGTATAGAATATACTAGAATAAGAGACTAAATGTAGGGAATCATTAGGAAGTTTTTGCAATAGCTCAGATTAAAGGCAACAAGGATTGGGCTAGGGCAGAGCCAGACAGTATGGAAAAATGGAAATACTGGAACACTTGTTAATGCTTGATTTCTTTAATTCTTTTTTTTTAAGATTTTATTTATTCATTTGAGAGAGAGAGAAAGAGATGGAGAGAGGACGAACATGAGCAGGGGGAATAGGCAGAGGGAGAGGGAGAAGCAGACTCCCCGCTGAGCAGGGAGCCCAACACGAGGCTCAATCCCAGGACCCGACCCAGAGATCATGACCTGAGCCAAAAGCAGGTGCTTAACCTATCTGAGCCACCCAGGTGCCTCTGATTTCTTTATCCTTTATCATGTTACCAGTAGTTGTCCCAATAAAGCAATTAAATGCAATTTTCAAAAGTGAGACCCACTACATGTAACATATAGCCATATTTATTCTCTATTGGCACAGTCTTTAAATAATAAATGGTTAATAGTAGGTAGGTTATTGAAGAATAGCTGAGAAGGGTAAAGTAACTGTTGAATGAATGGAAATTTAGTGCCATCTGCTGGCAATAGTAGTAAAAGCTTTCTTCGAGTATCAAATCTAGACCATTAGAACTACAAATTGGTACAATTAATATAAGCAAAACCATAGCAATTTCCTATAAAAACATGCCCTTGAAAAAGACCAAGAAGGATGAGAAAACACATCTAAAAAAATTATTCTAATGCATTATATATAAAGAATGACTATTTGATAGTTTTTCTCCCTCTTTTGCTTCAATTAATGTCTGAAAGACAGATGTAAACACATCAAACCACTTGAAACATATTTAGCCCAAGTCTTTTCAGATTTCCACAATTGGCAGAATATACTGGTACATGAAATAGAAATCTGGTGTTAGGAATTTCTTAAACAGTCCTGATTACATATTTCCCTCCTGTCTCTATTAATCTTGAAAGTGCATCATATATTCAAATATATTTACATTTAAACTACATTTTTCAGACTGTTTGCTATACCCAGGAAAGATTACAAAATGCTTTGTTAGAACACACACCCATATGACCTACTCCCTCACTTCTTCCAAGTCTTTACTTAGATGTCACCGTGAAGCCAACTGATGACCAAAAATTTAAACCCCGTGCTTGCCACCAGATTCACCTGTCCTGCTTTGTTTTTCTTCATAACATTTACCTTTACTACATATCATAGATAAGTAGATAGATAATAGATAACTATATAGATATTATCTTTGTTTCTTCATTGACTATCTCCCTACACTAGAATATAAGCTCCAGGAAGGTAGATTTTTAATCTGTTTTGTCCACCCTACTGTCCAGAATAGTACCTGTACGTAATAGGTACACACAAAAAAAATTGTTAAATAAATGAATGAAGGCAAGGAATGGAGATGCTATTAGCTGATAGAAAATAGGAAAGGCAACCAGACTCCTTGAAATGGAATGCATGGAACAGCCACGTGGGGATTTTCAGGAGGCCCTTGGAAAAATTTGATTCTAGGAAAAGGTCATTCAGATACAAGTGAAGTCAACACATGATGGAAGGGCACACAGAGTGCTTGCCCTTTAGAAACTGAAAATCTGGCATGAAAGGTGGTCAAATAAAAAACAATTATGATACAATGAAATATGAAGAAAGTAGATGATTAAGATAAATAATACTAAACTTGTCAAAATCAAGGTGTCTCTATAAGGATTTATAGTAGTTTGTGTGGTTTGAAGAGCAGTTCCAAAGAGGGAGTTCCTACGATGTTAGCAATAGTACCTATAGAAAGAAGTGAGGTAACTGAGAGGATTCTCTTAGATATATAAGGTATTTCTTGGTCTACATTAAAAACAACAGTGCTAGGGGCGCCTGGGTGGCTCAGTCGTTAAGCGTCTGCCTTCGGCTCAGGTCGTGATCCCAGGGTCCTGGGATCGAGCCCCGCATCGGGCTCCCTGCTCCGTGGAGAGCCTGCTTCTCCCTCTCCCACTGCCCCTGCTTGTGTTCCCTCTCTCGCTGTGTCTCTCTCTGTCAAATAAATAAATAAAATCTTTAAAAAAAAAAAAATAGTGCTACTTTCCTCACACATCCTATTTCTTTAGTCTGGGCCTGACTTAAACCACTTACACTGTTCTGCTACATCGACAATCACCTTAAGCTCTTGGGATTTCATACACATGAAGCTCATTTAGCCATCTTATTGACGTAAAAGGAAAATTTTTAATTCTAAACTAACACGACTCTATTTTGCCATTTTCTTATGCAATTTTCAAATTACAGGCCCACATGGGGCAACAATTTTCTCATCACTGGTAAGAAGTCAGAAGACTAGAGTTTGATTCTGGTTCTCCCGCTAACCAACTACCCCTGTAACCCTAACGGTTATGCTACCGTCTCTCCAGATTCCTTCCCTCAGTGGAAATGTATTCACATTGAATTTGATGACTTCTATGTTACCTTCCAGCACTGATTTCTGTGATTTCACAATTCATAATCACTTTCCTAATACATGTATCCTCAGAAGATGAAAAATAATAAAACTATCTTGAACTTAGAGTTGATAGTGGATCCTATGCAGTGATCTACTACAAAACCCTCCCAGGTAAAGTAAGTTCATGTTCATGATTGGATGGTCCACCACCTGTTTGGGATTATTACCTTTTGGGATTATTACAAGGGATCCAGTTCACTCCAGGGTCTGGGATATCCTCCAGGTATGGGTAGATAGTTTCCCTGGTAAAGTTCCAGCCATAAATACCATCTTCTGGAGTCACAATAATACGTGCACCCTGTTAAAAATATTAAAGTATTTCTCAGTTAAGCAACAATCCAAGACGGGGTCTGTATGACCTTGCGGTCATAATTTTGAGAAGGAGGTAGGAGTCTGATTGTACAACAAAGTTGTTGGCTACCCTGACACATATGTCTTCCAAAAGTATAACTGCACCGGACGGGGACCCTGGCTCCTAAGACCCCACCCTTCCTCTTGGTGGAGGCCAGCCCGCTTGAGAGGGGGTACCTGGTTTGCTGCTGAAGTGATTGCTGCCTCCAGAAGATCCAGATTTCGGTTCATTAATGCCAATGCCTCTTCACGGGACACTGGTATCAGGCTAGCATTAGGCAATATCACTGCGTGTTCATAAACAGCTGCAATAAATGTATCCCGGGAGCTGACTTTTAAGACACAGAAAACTGAAACTGCCACAAAAGCCAGCAGCGGAGAGGTGACCATGCTGAAGTCTGACGATTGCCGATAAACAGAGCAAGTCCTCACATGTATAGAGAGAAAACACAATTAATCATGTGGTCCCCAGGACTTACTACCTTACAAGTAGATTACAAAATCTACTCTAAGCAAGCCTTATGGTATTGCATTGTAGACATAGATATAAACAAACCTTATATAACAAAAGACTCAGGGCGCCTGGGTGACTCAGTCGTTAAGCGTCTGCCTTCAGCTCAGGTCATGATCCCAGGGTCCTGGGATTGAGCCCCGCATCGGGCTCCCTGCTCGGCGGGAAGCCTGCTTCTCCCTCTCCCACTCCCCCTGCTTGTGTTCCCTCTCTCACTGTCTCTCTCTGTCAAATAAATAAATAAAATCTTAAAAAAAAAAAAAGACTCTTATTGCAGGGATTTGTGAGGATCTAATAAGGAAATGTATGCTTTCGTTTTCTAGGTTTGTCATCACAAACTTGTTTCTGGAGACAAAGATGGGGGGCGTGTCAGAATATTCTTTTTGCATTGTTTGTTTCTTAAGTAACTAATTTAAAATAATCAATATGCCAAAGTGTCACATCTTGGGGTGGCCTGCTCTTGGTTCCTATAGTTCCCTCCTCTGAAACTTCTATAGAAGTTGAGCTGGCAGATTGTTTTATCTCACTGAACAGTCTTTTAGTACTGACAATAGGTTAGTTGAATTAAACTCACTTCGGGGGCGCCTGGGTGGCTCAGTTGGTTAAGCGACTGCTTTCGGCTCAGGTCATGATCCTGGAGTCCCTGGATCGAGTCCCGCATCGGGCTCCCCGCTCAGCGGGGAGTCTGCTTCTCCCTCTGACCCTCCCCCATCTCATGCTCTCTCTCTCTCTCTCATTCTCTCTCACAAAAAAATAAATAAATAAAAATCTTTAAAAAAAAAGATTTAAACTCACTTCAGAAGGCTGTGATGGTTATGTATTTTCAAAGTTATGCCTATGGTTCAATTAATCATGTAATAATAAGAGGCACTTTTATGAAAACAAAAACAACAGTTAAGATTAGATAAATTATAAAACTGGTTTCTGAGTTCTGAGAGTAGCCAGTTGAGAAGATTTCTAGATGTCAGGCTAAAAGCATCTTCAAATAGGGTGAGGGCAGGCAATGGCAACCTGGTAGACTCTTGGTTTGTAGGTCAAGTGTCTCTGGTGACCTTTCTGAGTCACCCACAGAGCAACAGGCATGAAGATGGTCTACACATGAGTTGTTGTGATTTCACTCAAGGTGACATAAAGCAGTTTATATTCAGTGTGCAGGGCTTCAAGGAAAGGGGAAGTTTTATTTATGAAATGATTCCAAGTCAAAATTATGGGGAAAAATTGGAGATGTTAACTAGGAGTTGTGGCCAGACATGGAAGGAAACTAGAAAAAATTAGGATCTAGTCTTGTTTCTAAAGAACTGTTTTTAGAATCTAATATCCATAAAGGTGTGTTACTTAAACATGATTTTCCTCTTTATAATCACTCTCCCTTTACCAAAGATAGCCAAATTAAGACTGATTTGTTTATAAAATAAACCGAGGGGGGGGGGAATGAACCTTGGCCTGATTATATATGTAAGTTCAGCAAGAATAGCAATTGATTATATAGAGTCTTTTAAATCTGCTTTGCTGCAACTTTTTACAGGGAATCTCTAGATTGAACTTTTAACAGCCTCCCAAGGCCAGAAGCCAAGCCAAATACTTGCCATCAGACCTTGCCTGTAATACTTAAAGATTTGCATTAATTCCTCTCTTTTGAGGTCTGCAAAATATCCTGAGGTTCCTGTACCTGCCAAGAAGTGACGTTCTTTACCTGTAAGGTTGCTAGCAACCCCATAAGCAAGGTATTGGGCTGTTTTCCCAAGGGGCCTTATTGGCTCCATATAATCAACGTTATTTCCTTAAAGCTGTCTGGTCATACCTAAGTTTTTAGCAAGTCTCCCCCAAATATGACATTCCAGTCAAAGCCTCAGTAATATAATCAATGTTTCCAATTATGTTCTGATACAAGGAGAACAGATTATTATTGAATTTATGCAAATGAATACATTGCCATGAAAATATAAGAACATTCACTGAAAATTCTGGAGGTATCAGATAGAAAGAAAAAGGTAAATGTTTTAATCTGTTGAAAAGTTTTATTTTATCAAATTGCTGGAGGTCATAGTTAGCTTAAGAGAAAGTCTCCTTAAATCTGGAAAAACAAAACCTTAAAAGATCAACAATGTTTCAAACAAAAAAGTCATAAAAATTATAATTGTCCTAGGGCTCCTGGGTGGCTCAGTCAGTTAAGCATCTGCCTTGGGCTCAGGTCATGATCTCGAGGTCCTGGGATTGAGCCCCCACATTGGAGAGCCCCGCTTCTCCCTCTCCCTCTGTTCCTCCCCAACCCCGTTCTCTTTCCCTCTCTATCTCCCTCTTTTCCTCCCTCTCTCTCAAATAAATCTTTTAAAAAATTATAATCATCCTCAGTTCATTTAGTCTCATGTTATTAATTTTTGTTCTGCTTCAATCCAGTTTTCCTACTAGTTCCAGAAATTCTTAACATGTTTAGTTTTATGATCTTAAGGTTATCAGAAACCTATACTCAGGCTTCTTTCCATAAGTCTCATTGAAGATGAAACGCAGTTGCAGGAAGCTTTTGTAAAAAGCATCTGAGTCTACAAATGACAAAGGACTTAAAAAATGTCCATGATTAAAGATCCAATTAGAATTCATTACAATGTGATTGACAAGGAAATTCGGTTATTTTTGGATTACATTTTAAGATAATAACATACCAGGACATATCATATTTCTAGAAGTTTCATACAATTTCCAGAATAGTTACTTAAGTAGCATGTATCTACATAAATATAAGACAGTTTAGTATTACTTGTTTGACAATACTTCCCATGTAACTTAACATACCAAACAAGCATTAATTTCTCTCTTTAATGATGAGAAACAAAATCACTGAAATGTTCCAAGGGCCCTCTGGAACATTTCAATTAGATTGTAGTCAAAAGACTTTATTTTAGAATTTGATTTTAGGGGGTGCCTGGCTGGCTCAGTTGAAAGAGTATGTGACTCCTGACCTCAGGGTGATGAGTTCAAGCCCCATGTTGGGTGTAGAGATTACTTACCTTAAGTAATCTCCCTCTTTCCCTAATACATATATAAGACCTTTAAATATGTAAGACCTTTAAAAAAATTTTGATCTTTGGAAGTTTATCAAAAAATATCAAAAGTTTCAAGCATTTAATTAAAGAAGAATCACAGATCATTATAAAACTGTTAAATGATTTAACCAACGTGACAATAAGAGATTTTAAAGGCAAATACAGAGGATTACATAGTTGTAAACAAGTCTTAGCTCTTTTAATATTAAGAAGACTGTCTTCTCGAATGATCAAAGATTTGATAAAAACAAAACAAAATATTTTTCTAGGCAGATTACACAAAAGGTAAAGAAAATTTTGTTTGTAATTTCTCATAAAAAGCAAACCAATCATCTAAGAAAGTTTTTCTAACAGAGAGAAAAACCAAATTCTAATTTTCTATCAGTGTTCTTTTGATATCAAAACTCACTCTTAAATATACTTATTCTAATCTTAGCTATATATAAAATTTTTCAAAGGGTTTTTTTTTCATAAATCTTCTACAACTTTTATTTTTATTAATTATTATTATTTTTTTTTTACACACAGATTTTAAGTTTTCCCTTTTTAAATAACTAGGCTCACTTTAGGAAAAATTATTTTTGCCCTCAATAAAAATGTATTGCCATTCCTCATACTTTTTCTTACAAAAAAAAATACATCTTACAGAGTTGTTTCCCTTATAATTTTTAGCAGCTTTAGTCACATGGTAATTATAATTCTTAATACTTAGAAACATTAATTTCTAGTGAAGTAGTAAACAACTGTAAATTGTTTCTCTAGCATTTTTTAGATCGGCAAATTTATGAATATATTTCAGGACGCCTGGGTGGCTCAGTCGGTTGAGCGTCTGCCTTCGGCCCAGGTCATGATCCTGGTGCCCTGGGATCGAGTCCCGCATGGGGCTCCTTGCTCAGCAGGGAGCCTGCTTCTCCCTCTCCCTCTGCCGCTCCCCCCTGCTTGTACCCTTGCTCACTCTCTCTCACCCACTCTCTAACAAAAACAAAAACAAAAAAAAAATCTTAAAAAAAAAATTTATGAATATATTTCATAATTTCTAGAAACATGTGCTTCTTCAAGTACAATCTTTTAATAAAGAATACAACATGTTTACCAGCAGACCCAAATTTTTAGTTTCTCTGGAGTAATAAGGAAACCACAAGTAGATAAACTTATGTTCAGTATTCAATGTTTATTATTTTATCTTATTTAGAAATGACCTAGCTATTCAGTGAATTCAACCTAACTCATCACTTAGCAAAACTTCAAGGTTTCAAGTTGCCAGAAAGATTCGGGGAAACTATCTTAAAAGTTTACCTAAAAACCTTTTAAAATTTATATCTATTCAATTTACTTGTTCTTAACAATGATGCTTACATTACCCATAAAAACTATAGGAGACATCAAAGTCAGTTACCCTTCCAAGCTAATTATTTTTTAAAAACAGAGATAGTATCAGCCTATTTGACTCTAAGTAAACCGAGGCAGAATAAACGTTTTAGTTTTAATGTTGATAATTTTAAAGACATGTCTATTTTAATTAAACCGACAACCTTAAATTAGCTTTAACACCAAATATTCTCCCAAATCATGTGAACTTGAAAATAAGCGCTTGCCTTCAAACTAACTAAACAGGGCTCTTTTACAAACTAATTTTAGTAATACCATCCAGATGTAGAAAAATCTCACACTTACAACATATACATTGTTAAAAAGAAAACCACAGGCCCAATATGGCATTACTTAGGTTAAAGCTCCAAGTCAGTAAACCAAGACTTAATACCTAAACTAACTGCAGTTTCAACTCCCCAGGAATGTAACCTTTAACCAGACAACATGGAATTTCCTGGTCAACACAAGAAGTTTATTGAGAGACCCCTTCCATTTCCCTTAGGAGGGCAAATTGCCTACAACAGTGGATTCTTTGCTAATAACTGTCTTTTTCCGCCCCATCTCTACCTTTAAAAACAGTTCCTTTTCTGTAGCAGTTTGGAGTTCCTTTCTAATTGTTGGATGGGATGCTGCCCGATTCATGAATTGATTAATAAAGCCAATTAGATCTTTAAGATTTACTTTGATGGATTTTTCTTATTTAACAATATGGACATACATACAAACATACATACAGATGTAAACAAAGATCTTACAGTTTTTGTTTTGTGGAGAGAACATTATAGGCCTGATTTTTATATACCTTTTCTCGCTCTCTTTTTTTCCTTCTGGTGAGAAACCTTTTTTTGAAGTTTATTATTTCAAAGAATGGCTCTTAGGTCCTAGAGAAGAGGGGGCTAGAAAATTTATACCACAGAGGCACAAAGAAAGTACCCAAGTTTTCTCCAAGGTGGACTTTTGGGGACATATTGTCCACTTATAGAGATGCTAGCGACTGGGCACAAGAGCCCTTTTAGCAATCTGTATTTTTATTTTTTAAGTAAGCTCCACTCCACACCCAGCGTGAAGCCTATCACAGGGCTTGAACTCATGACCCTGAGATCCAGACCTGAGGGGAGATCAAGAGTCCGAAGGCACTGAGCCATCCAGTTGCCCCCTTAGCAATCTGTATTTTTAAAAGCCCTCTTCCCCTCCCTGCCTTTTTTCTTCAGCCTCAGACAATTGTGGATTGTGTTTTCATTTCAAAGACATGATAAAATTATAACTCTAAGGAACAGAGAAAGAATGCAAGTTGGTTTGTTTGTTTTAAAGAAATCTGAGATAAATGCTATTTAAAAAATTATTTATTTTCTTAGGTACAGGACAATTTTGTTCCAATATTCTGATCTTTTATAGTATCTATAAAGCATTGAGAGGAATAGGCAAGGTTTTGAGATTGGTAAAAATAGGTGGGCTTTGACTTGTTTTTAGAGTTGATTTCTGGTTTTGTAGCGATTTTTAAGACAGACAGTTGTCTTTAATTCCCCCAAAGATTTGGATTTCAGCCTGAATATCAAGGGATGGACCTGCTTTTTTAACTAAACTTTATGTGTGTATATATATATACACACACATACATACACACACCAGGGACGTGTTTAACTAAAATGGGAATCAAAAGCTTTATGCCTTGGTAAACTCTGTATAAAGCGTTTTAATAAAAGCTTTTTCTCTAAGTACATAATTTAACCTTGGGCTTTTATTATATCAGGACCTGCCATCAGCCTTCCACTGATTAATTGCAGGAGGGCCTAGGAGAAAGTTTGGTCATCTGCCTCCTCTGTCAAAGGGGGCTGGGTTCAAGCGGCCTTTTGGCTTGCCTAATAATCATAGTATGAAAGAAACTTCCCTTAGCAGCCAGTCAAGTTCTCTTTGAGTGAAGTTGTGAATAGCCAACCACCTTTTTAATTCCTCTAAATTTGGTAGGATCTTTTGAAAGTGGAGGAAAAGGGGCTTTATAATTTAAAAGATCTGCTGTTGTTCAAGGGACGTGAATTCCCTGTGTGTTGGGGGCGCGTTGGGGCAGGGCTGCGCCATTCAAAGATATATCTGCCAAGGTCATTGCAGAGAAATGCCTAAAGTTGGCAGAGCCTGATTACAGCAAAGTAAGCCCTACTGCCTGTCCCAGGTACTTCTGCTAAACTTTCGGTTTGGCTTCCAGTATTTGTAAGAATAGTCTGCATACTTTGAACTTGAGATTAAGCTGGAGTACTGTCTAAAAAATCTTGTAGGGAAAGGGAATAGATGGGTCAGATTTTAGGAAGGGAAACTTACAATGGATGTAGACAATAATTTTTGTCTTAAGTCTAATTTCCGTTCTTTATCTTGTCAAGGGAGTCCTTAAGGATAGCCTTATGCTAATAAGAAAATTGAGAGCTCACCATAAAGTTTTTTTTAATTTAGCCAAATTTTTTTTTTTAAGATTTTATTTATTTGTCAGAGAGCGAGTGAGAGAGAGCACAAGCAGAGGGGAGCAGCAGAGGCAGAGGGAGAAGCAGGCTCCCTGCTGGGCAGGGAGCCCAATGCGGAACTCGATCCCGGGATTAAGACCTGAGCCAAAGGCAGACACTTAACCAACCGAACCACCCAGGCATTCCTTAATTAATATCAATTAATAGCCACTCAAACCAATAAGCCTTTTTATGGTTTGGCCAAAGATACAAGAGATGTCCCTAGAGAGGGCATAGCTGGTGAAGCCCCACAAGTCTACTCCCAAAAATAGTCTAAGAAAGCAAAGACCTTCAGGGACAGGTGGTAAGAATGATGTGGTGTTATCAGGGTGTCTCAGGCCCCCACAAAGGTGCGAAGCTTCCACACAGACCCGCCAATCTGTGACAGCTGACAGGTGCTACTGGAATGGATTTTTCTAGCACTAACAAGCAATGAAGGTTGAGACGACCAAGGCCCTTACAGTCTAGGAGCTCTTAAGACAAACTCCCCCGAGAGCTGGCACAACTGGGCAAAGAGAATGCTGCTTGTAACTGGGTATCTCCAATCTCCAGTCTATCCAACTGGCCCCCTAAGTACACCCCAGTAAATGCACCTTCCGGATGGCAGAGACCAGAGAGAATGTTCTCACTGGTCACAAAGCCAAGCTCTTAGGACACAGAACAAGATAAAAGGAAAAACCTCATCTAGTTTTTACACCGGGGACCCACAGCAAAGTATGCCCACATAGACATTGTCTGATGAGAACCGCGAACTCTATGCTTTTTGGTAATCCCCTTACCTAAAGACGCGGACAAAGGAGATCTAAGACCATCTCTGGAAGGAAACAGATCACTAGCCAAACAGCACCCTACCAGATTTTTTACCAAGAGTCGCTAAGCCAAAGGAACTGGTTCCACAAATATTTTCTCCTGCTAATTTGATTTGAGAGAAAGAGAAAAAGACTGTCCTTACTCTCACGCCACCAGACCTCACAGACAGAAACTCCGGGAGGCCGACATGGTAAGAAATCTTACCTTCTGCCGGCTGTATGTCAGATCCCCCGAGATCTTAAAGCTGCAGAATCCTCCGGGGCAAATATGCAGCGGAAGTTAACCCAGCGGCCACACCTATGGCAGGGGAAGAACCACCTCCTGTGCTTTCTCAGGATTTCCAGCTGGCCTCAGAATTAAGGGGACATGAGACAGAGTCACAGGAGGGGGGGTAAAAAAGTTTCATTACGTGCACACAGAGGCCCCGTAATGACACGGAGACCTAAAGAAATGACCAAGGCAGGCTGTTGTTGTATTTTTTAGACAAAGAGGCAATAAATCTGTGAGGAGTTGAAAGGACAAAGAAAACTTGGGCAGCTTCAATTAGTAAGGAATTCTAAACAGAATTTGGGCTGGCGTGTTTTAGTTGTAAGCCCGCTGCCCGCCCTCCTTCCTTTCTCTGCCACTGGCAGCCCGAGGGTCGGGCGGGCCGGGTAACTCCCACCCCACCCCACCCACCAGCCCCGGGGGGGGACCATGGAGGACGAGAAGCTGGAGTTCCCCTCGCTCCCGCAGTGCAAGGACGACGCCGAGGAATGGACATACCCTATGAGACGAGAGATGCAGGAAATTTTACCTGGATTGTTTTCAGGTGCATATTCTTCTGCTACGAAAAGCAAGCTACCTATACTGCAGAAATATGGAATAACCCATATAATATGCATAAGACAAAATATTGAGGCAAACTTTGTTAAACCAAACTTTCAACAATTATTTAGATATTTAGTCTTGGATATTGCAGATAATCCAGTTGAAAATATAATACGTTATTTTCCCATGACTGAAGAATTTATTGATGGAAGCTTACAAACTGGAGGAAAAGTTCTTGTCCATGGAAATGCAGGAATCTCCAGGAGTGCTGCCTTTGTTATTGCATACATTATGGAAACATTTGGAATGAAGTACAGAGATGCATTTGCTTATGTTCAAGAAAGAAGATTTTGTATTAATCCTAATGCTGGATTTGTTCATCAACTTCAGGTAACTTCTCTCCTCCTCATGTTTAAAGTAGTCAGAAAGGAGGATAATTAAAATCTTACGTCTATGTAAAAAAAAAAAAAAAAAAGAATTTGGGCTGGGGTAGTAAATTAATAAAAGGTAACAAGGGTTGTTTATATAGCCTTTTTGACTCTAAATTTCCTATGTCCGGTGATAAGAATCTCTTTACCTCCTGGTATAGATAGATTGTTTTACAGAAACAATAAGAAGTCAGTGTTCTTGTTTTTTAAGATCTTTCTAAAGATTTTATTTATTTGAGATAGAGTGAGAGTGTGAGAGAGAGAGAGAGAGAGCACAAGCAGGGGGAGTGGCAGGCAGAGGGAGCAGTGGGTTCCCTGCTGAGCAGGGAGCCCAAGGTGGGCTCGATCCCAGAACCCTGAGATCATGACCTGAGCCAAAGGCAGACGCTTAACCAACCAAGCCACTCAGGCATCCCTTAAGATTTTTATTTGAGAAAGAGAGAGAGAGAGAACACGAGCAGAGAGGAGGGGCAGAGGGAGAGAGAGAAGCAGACTCTCTGCTGAGCAGGGAGCCTGATGCGGGACTCGATCCCAGGACCCCGGGATCATGACCTGAGCCAAAGGCAGATGCTTAACAGACAGAGCCACCCAGGTGCCCAGAAAAGTCAGTGTTCTTTTTGCATTGGCTGTTTCTTAAGTAACTTTAATTTAAAATAATCAGTATGCCAAAGCGGCATATTTTGGATTGTCCTGTCCTTGGCCCCAACAAATCTTTTATGTGGAGAGAAGCCTTGATTAATACCACCAGACTCTGCAAGGATGGAGAGGATTGCCTCTTTAGAGAGAAAATGTGACATCCCACTGCCTGGAGTTGGAAGGAGACCCACAGCATCCGGACCATTCACTGACAGCACCCCAGGTAGCAGGCCCCAAAAGGAACTCAGCAGGAAATCGTGCCCCGCCCAAGTGGAACAAATGAGAAACAGGGGAAAGGAGGGGAGAACAAAGACTGAGTGGGGTAGGCACTGCCTCTCACACTTCTCTATGTCCCTAGCACCTAGCACAGTGCCTGGTACACAAAAGACCTAACATGTCATTTAAGGAATTGCCCCAGGACTGCCACTAGCTTGCCATAGGACTTTGGATACTTTATCTCCTCAGTCATTCCAGCTAACCCAGGTGATCCAGTTGATCCCGCTGATCCAAAGGAGGTCAATGCACGAGAACCACTCACAGGATCATGACCTGAGCCGAAGGCAGACGCCCAAAGACTGAGCCATCCAGGCACCCCTCTATAAGTATTCATCTTAACCCTAAATAAAGAGAATCCATTCACCTTTGCTCAGAGAGTCACTGATTTGGAAGCCATCCCGTGATCTCCGTATTTGCAGCAAATAAACCTTTCTTTGTGTGACGACTTAACCTGGCGCAGTTCTGACTCACCCAGGAGCAAAACTCGCTACCCTTAAAACTAAGAAATTGGTTTATAATTTGATCTCACTATCAACCATTGTTTTTCTTTTGTTTCCATAAAATGCCTCTTATTTAGGGGGCACCTGGGTGGCTCAGTCGGTTAAGCAACTGCCTTCGGCTCAGGTCATGATCCCAGGGTCCTGGGATGGAGCCTGCTTCTCCCTCTGCCTGCCACTCCCCCTGCTTGTGCTCTCTCTCTCTGACAAATAAATTTTAAAATCTTAAAAAATAAACTGCTAAAGGGCTCTTGTGCCCAGACTCTAGCACAGCTTTCTTAAGATTAATTCCAGGGACAAGTACAAATCTTAAAAATCTTCCCAAATATTTGTAACGATAAAGTCCTTGCATCCATGTGTTTGTGGGTATGTTATAAATGTGAGTTATTATTTTACCTCTGGATGGTATTGCTAAAATTAATTTTCAAAAGAGCTCTATTTAGTTAAAGACAAATGCTAGTAAGGACTGACCATTCTAAACCTATCAAAAAGAAACTAACCCAAATGTTTTTTTCAAGTTCATGTGATCTGGGAAAAACATTTAATATGAAAGCTTGTTTAAGATTGTTCATTTAATTAAAATAGACATGTCTTTAGAGGTATCAGCAATAAAACTGAAACTTTTATTCTACCAGCGTTTACGTAAAGTCATAAGTCAATGTTATCTCTGTTACAGACTATATAAAAGAAAAATGGCTTGGAAGAACAACTGACTTTGAGGTCTCACCAAGTTTTTGAGTAATCTAAGCATAACTGTTAATAACAAGTAAATTAAATAGACATAAATAAAAAATTTTAGGTAAGCTTTTAAATTGTTTTCCCAAATCTTATTGGTAACCTAAAACCTTAAAGTCTTGCTGAGTTAGGTTAAATGAGTTAAGTTAAATCTGTTAAATATCTAGATCACTTCCAGGTGAAACTGATGAAGGATAGTTGGAAGGCAGGCAGGGACAAGCATTCCCCCCCGCCCCCCCCACCAGCCCTAAGAGGATACCGCCCTTCAAAGGACTTTACACCACCCTAGAAGGAGCCCTCCACCCTTTCCCATGTGACAAAAACCTGATTGGTGCAGGGAGGGTTAATCAGATTAAAACAGCCCACCAACAAACCCATAAAAACCCCTAGATTAGAAACTCTGCTGGCGACCCTCTCCACCCTCTCGGGTCCCCTCCCTCCTTGGGAGCTTTGTGCTATCACTTTGCTATCACTCAATAAATCTTGCTTTGCTGCCCACCACTCTGTCTGGTCTACTTCTTCATTCTTTGAAGTGGTGTGACTAAGAACCACAGGCACTGACAGAAAAAAATCCTGTAACAAAACAAAATACTAAAACATTGATTACTAAACATAGGTTTATCTATTTTTGGCTTCTAATTACAAAGAAACTAAAAGATATCTGGAACTGTTCATGCTACACTGGAAAATTTTAAAACGCATATGCTTCTAAATATGAGATACATTCATAAATTTGCAAATCTAAAGGATTGTGGTAAAAGTTCACTTACTACTTAATTTTCACTAGAAATTGAGATTGCTAAGACTTAAAAAAAATTTTTTTTAAAAGATTTTATTTATTTATTTATTTGAGAGAGAGAATGAGAGACAGAGAGCACAAGAGGGAAGAGGGTCAGAGGGAGAAGCAGACACCCCGCTGAGCAGGGAGCCTGATGTGGGACTCGATCCCGGGACTCCAGGATCATGACCTGAGCCGAAGGCAGTCGCCCAACCAACTGAGCCACCCAGGCGCCCCTAAGACTTAAAAATTTTAATAAATGTAACAATTTATTAGACCACTAGAAAGAATAAGGCAAAATAACTTTATATGCAAAGAAAGTAAGATGCATGTTTTTGGTAAGAAAAAAGTATGAGGAATAGAGATACATTTTTGAGGAAAAACAAAGTAATTTTGTCCTAAAGTGAGGCCAGTTATTTAAAGAGGGAAAACTCAGGACAAAATCTGAGTGTAAAAAAGAAAGTTGTAGAAGTTTTGTGAAAAAGGAATCTTTGGAAAGAACTTTGAATATGTGATCCAGCTGGCTTCCATGCAAAGGCAGAGGCAACAGAACTATAATGATTGTAACACACCTGGATGAGGTCCATTCTGCTTCTGCAAAAATGGCTCCTCATTGCCAGGCTTGGACATTTCCTGATGTCCCTATAACAGGGCAACAGTCTGCTCCTGAATCAGAGAAATTGAGATTGGTAAATAATGGCTCTAAGTTAAATGAATAGTTGGGACTATGGGAAACCCAAGATGGCTGCTTGGTTTTTCCCAGCTCCTTGACAAACCCCATTTTCTGATTTTAGCAGTCCTTCACCCACTGTAATGCATTTGAGATAACTTGAATTATAGACATTAGTGGAGAAACTTCTATGAAATTGCAAAAAAAAAAAAATAGTCTGCCAATAACATCTAACTCGTCCGACATGTAATCCTGAAAAACTGATTTTGTCTCCAGTGTCCTCAAACCTCCTTCCTGTAGGCCCTTTGAACACCTGCAGCTAGACTTCATTCAGTTGCCACTTAGTGTGGGTTATCAATACATCCTTGTTATTGTATGCATGTTTTCCAGATGGGTTGAAGCCTTTCCCTACCACAAGACTGATGCTCTCACAGTGGGAGGGGACCTGCTAAAAAATGTGATCCCCACTTGAAGTATACCTTCTATAATCTCCAGTGATCAAGGCACCCACTTCACTGAATCATATGAGCCTTAATGAAAACCTTCCGGACTTGGAATTCTATCAATATATAACCTCCTGCTGATGCCTTATCTTGTGCTACTATGATCACTACTGTAAATCTCTAATGCCTTATGCTCAAGCCTGTCATCAACAGGTGAAGGAAGCCTTCCTGGGTCCCAATTCAAAGGATCTTGTTCATCACAGTTTAGGGCCTGGTGACCAAGTACTCTGAACACATCATCAGAGGAAGACCTCGAGCACCACTGGGAAGAAACTTACCAAGTGTTCCTGACCACTAACACTGCTGCAAAACTAGAATGTATTCAGCCTTGGGTACATATCACACAGATAAAGAAGACTCCACCTGACACCTGGTCCTGTGCAGACACTGGAGACCTCTGAATCAAGCTGACAGGGAAGACAAGTAGCTGACATTGAGGTAGACTGCTTCCGCCAAGAGGCCAGATCAAGACTTTCTACTTTAGGGGCACCTGGGTGGCTCAGTCATTAAGCGTCTGCCTTCGGCTCAGGTCAGGATCCCAGGGTCCTGGGGTCAAGCCTCATATTGGGCTCCCTGCTCGACGGGGGGGCCTGCTTCTCCCTCTCCCTCTGCCCCTCCCCCTGCTTGTGTTCCCTGTCTCCCTGTGCCCCTCTCTGTCAAATAAATAAATAAATAATCTTAAAAAAAAAAAAAGACTTTCTACTTTAACTGAACATGAAACTCTTTCTTCTTTTCCCTTCCTTCACTCTGGCATTGGCCTGGAAAGACAACATCCTCATCTTTATCTCCCAGGCCACTGCTAAGATGGGTAACCTCTGGAATTTAGAGCCACCTTTTATTTCAGCCTAGGAAGCTGAAATCTGAGCCCCTACATCTCATAGACTCCCCTGAATATGCATAATCAAGTTAGAAAAGGTCTAC